TTTTTTTCCAAAATCCTTTTTCTTCCATCATCAAAAGACAGATGAACAAAAATTAGTTTCAAGAATTAYGATTATTCTAGTGTTGTTTTTGAAGCATTTAGAATACATACCTGTGGTAGAATCTTTATTTATTTTTACTCTGATGCAGCTTCACAATTCTTGTCTTTGTTGAGCATCTACACTAATAATACTAGTTCACCATTACCTTAAGAAATCTAGATGGCATGTTAATACAGGTGAAACTGAGTATTTTGTATTGTCCTTTGGCACTTGTGCAGAGTAAAGCTAGTATTAGCTTTTAGTGTTTCTGGTCTGCTTTTGTTTTTCATCTTAAAGATGGGATGGGAAAGCTATGAAGCACCTGACCATCTGCTGGAAAATGGAGGATTTTGTTACAAAACCTTCATTATTTATTAGGTGTACTTAGGTAAGTCTCTTGACAGAAAGTTATTTTTGGAGACTGAGTATTTTGAGTATCAGTCAAATTTTGGTATGCTTCTTTATAAGTCTCTTTGCACAAAATTTCCACATGTAACTTGTTCTTGAATCTTGAGATTGAGATAATCTCTTGATTCTGTTCATTCTGATCAGCTACTGTGCATCTAACCGTTGTGTCTATGAGATTTATGGCTAGGATTCAGTTGCATTTTCTGAATGTGGTTTTGTATTGGTAATCATTTGCTGGGGGAGGGGGAAGGAAAACCAAACTTCCAGTGAAGACAGAGTAGAATGTGTATTGATTTGGATGATAAAATGGTGGGGAATAAAAGAAATAATTAGTAGTATAGAGCATAAAATTGAGTTTATAAGATTGAGTGCTCTTAGTGGAGCAGGTAAGGCCACCCCACACCTTCATAAGAAAGTACTGGAAGTACCGTATGAAAATGGAATCAAAGAAGCAATCTCTTCAGCTTTCTTAATTAGTTACATATCAGTTTTAGTACAGGATATGTGCATGTATAGGATTTGAAATATGTAATTTTTGCTATTTTATGCCCCTTGCTGGCTCTCAGTTTACATTATGCATCTTTAACGGGAGATGTAGATGTGCATCTCACTGAGGTTGGTCTGTGGTGCACATTTGTCTGAATGTGCCAATAGTTCTCTTTGCTGTGGCTGTTTGTAGGCACAGCAGCACAAGTAAGGGATGATGGTTTGGAGAACCTCAAATGTGCTAWTTTTTTTTACCCTTACATACAATCTATTTCCTGCTTAAAGTAAAAATATTTTAGAACTTCCAGGATTTCCCATTTCTGTAAATGTCTTCCTCTTTCAAAGTCCCTATGTCATTGCTATAACTTTCGTGGCCATGTTCTTAAAGGGAGTGCTTTTTTTTTCTTTGGCAGCAGAGGCAGTTTTAATACCCACATTTTTTTCAGACCAAACCCTGCAGAACTGTTGCATGCAGTCATTGGGTAGCCTCTGGGGTGTTCCAGCTGGCTTGAAGTATCCTTTGCCTTTAACAGTCTGCCACTTGACCTTCTGAGCTTGCTTCACCTTGTGGTTTCCAATCTACATAATAATTTTGCGTCACACTTTGGTTAAATGGTTTCTTTTCGACAGATGGAAGTACCTTCAAAGAGGGTTTAACTTTATATTCTGCCTCAGCAATAATGCCATTCTATTCAGTTTGATTTATCTATGAATATGAATGTCTTTCTGAATACCAGCTTAAATTATGTACAAGTGGAGATTATAAATTATCAATATAAAATGGACTTTTTAGGGATATTGGACATAYAAAATGTATACTGTGAGTAATTCTGGACTAGGTGCTGTTCAACATGAAGCTAACTTTTGTGAGGGAAATCTAGCAATTACTATAATAGGTCCAGTTAAAAACCATGGTGATGTGATATCTGATTCAAAAACATATTCACCCAGCTGTGTCAGAAGGGTGTAGAAGTGTTGGGTGTCAGGCTAAAGACTTGCAGTTTAAAATATGCAATTCTTATTGCCAGGACTAACTTGGAATTCTGGCTTTACTGTACCTTATTCACCATTGCAGTCGTGTTTTTGCTGTGTGTTCCTAGAAACAGGAATAGTATTGTGTTCCCTAAAAGCCATCTGTGACCATCTTTTTCCTATGAAGTGAAAACAGAGGGCTGTGTAGTGATCAGGACTGTTTGATATTTCAGAATTTTGAGTGTTTCTATCTTTAGAAGTAACAGATATTGTAGATGTGTGATATATTTGAGAAGGTTGCCAGGAGTAAGAAATTYTGCATTTTCATGTTCCTCCCTGGCAGCATGAGCTTCTGGTGCATTCTGGAGTCTCTGAGAAATAATTCATGTAAACCTGTGACGTGATTAACAAGATGTGCTTCGTAAGAGAACAGCAATGTGCGAGTTTGCTCAATTTTAAGTCTGATGAGTGAACCCTTGCCTGCCGAAAAGAGGAGATCCTAGTAATGAGAGGAGGGATTTGCAGTGTAGGAAAAAGCTGTCAAACATTTTACTTGACAAGCAGTGACTTGATTTGGATAATGCCTAGTAAATTATATRTATATAAATTGCCTCATGCATTTTCTTTCTAAAACTTCTGCTCTAATTAAATATTGCATTTTCAAAAATAAGCTGATTATTGATCAATGCTGTTACTCTCTCTCTGCTGTTTTCTTAGTTCTAGTTTAATGTTGGTATATCCRCACTCACATAAGTTGCTGTATAAAAGAAGCTAAGAAAAAAACCACTCGAGGTTCAGGTTCTCATCATATGTAGCAGCCTTCAGACTAGCTTGGATGCCTTGATAAAGGGTATACAAGGATCAAACAGAAAGTGATCCTTGAAACTGTTACAGTGTTACTTGACTTATAAGGTCACTTGTCCAATAYTGCTGTCTTTTCAGAAAATTTGAGGGAGTTTTGTGTGTTAGAARTACATGGCAGGTTTTTTTTCTCTTTTTCACAGAACTCTAGGTTGTGTTTGGGTCTGTTTTCCATTGTTGGTGTGCTGATAAGTAAATATTATATGAGGCTTTGGATTGATATTTAACAGCTGAGATGGTAGATAATACCACTGCAAACGTTTGTCATTGMCCATTCCAATGTCATCAATATGAACCAGCTGAACTCTGCCTTTCTTTTTCTTTGCTGCCCTTGGGGTTTAATGGCTTTGCAGAGAAGGTCCTGCCTGGCATATTGAGCTGCTCCAGAAGGTCTAACCCATAAGCAGTGAGTACTGAGCTGCAGCACACTAATGCTGTAGGTGTTGACTCACCATGCTGTTTTAATTGCAGTTCTCTTGAAGGTGCAGACCGTCAACATCGATATTGAATCTTGGGTTTTCTACCAATCTGTTGATAAATATGTATGGCTCCAAAAGTTGTTCTGCTTTTCTTTTCCTGGGAATTAACTTTTCTCCTGTGCACATACTGTTTGCATTTAAATCTAGCTTTCATGTATCTGTGGCTCTTGCTATAACTGGCAAATGCTAATGCCTCAAATCTGCAGTGATAGAAGTTCTTATAGAATTTTTGAGCCTGATGTAAACTAGATTTCAGATGTGCATGARTTGAAAAGCCTCTAATGTTTTGATGTGATGGTTACTAAGATATGATTGACTAAGCCTGGATTTACCTTTTTACTGGAAAGTCATTCAAAATAGTCATCTGCAAACTCGGGAAAGGGGGGCAGAAATCTGTAATTGTGATACATGTTCATTTGTGATACGACTGCTTTGAAAATAGTCAATTTTTTTTGTCTCAAGATAACAAACAGTTTTTTATAATTTATATGTTTTTAGACACAGATCTCCTCTTAAAATTCCATTCCTGTTTGGCTGGAGACAGAAAACAACTGTTTTGGTAGTCTCAGTTGTTTCTGTATGCATATTTCTAAAGACAAAGGTGCAACTAATTTGGCTAGATGGTATGTTCCAGCTGGATGCTACCCTGAGGAGGCAAAAAGGGCATGAACAGTTTTGGTACAACCGTGCCTGTTAATAGGTGCTTTCAGACCTGCCCAGGATGGTGTTAATGCCTGTAAATAATGGCAGAGCTTATTCTGGAATGCTGAACAAATCAAATATTGGTCACTGTGCACAGAAAGTGCTTTGTTCTTACCTGAAGATACTCCAACACATAGAGAATTTYTGAGAATAATCTCCAGGTCACTTTAGAAAGGAGATGCTGTGACGTGAGAACTTTTTGTAAACTGGGGGAAATGTAGTATATTGCTCTGGGTATTTTCATGAGAGCCCTAGAGAGGTCAATAACCATAATTTTTTCTTATTTTTTCATGTCTCTTCCTTTTTTTTCATGAGGCTACTGACTTTCTGAGGTTTGAACACTTGTGGCATAATTGCATAAACACTTTGTAGACATCTGGGGGGCTGTAAGATATTGCTGCTGTTCTCCTGCTGTTTTTCTCTCAGCTGAAGAGAAAAAACCTCAAAGCTGAGCCACCCTGATGGATCATATGAACTGTCCTAGTCCMTGTCAGTGCAAAGTCAGCCAGGCTATTTTAAATTACTGCTGGATGCAGCTGAAGGTAGTAATGAACAGCTTGAGGTAATAACTACTTAAGCCATTCCAGCTAGACTTCCAAGAGCACATCTGTCTGTGTCCTTATAAGTACAATACTTTAATCTCTCCATTGCTGTATTGTATTCAGGATTTGTCAGGACTGCAGAGCTCTTGCCAAGGGGAGTYGTAATATTCAAGTGGAATGTATTGGTGCTTCCTGTCTATCATTATTATCACATTGCAATAGAAAGATTTGAACAATGAATGTGTAAGATACCATTGAATGGTAAAGTAAGTTTATTTTCATATGTGAGGCAAATGTGTGGGAGTCATGTTTTGGTAACTCTTGGAAACAGATTACCTTACAAAGTCTCTTCCCATACTTCGTTTATAGTTCTCCTACTTCTAGCCAACTACCTTTGATTCCTAGTCATTTAAGTTCTGTACCCTTGCTTCATTCCCCCCAGAACTTCACTGTATTGAGTAGAAATATAATGAATTTTTTAGCTCTATTTTTTTTTTATTTCTTGCCCCAGGTCCAGCAAGACTATGAATCTCTGTTCCAAATGCTTTGCTGGTAAGTGCAGTAAAAGGTTTTGTGTTTCCSTTAGATTATTGAAACCACATTGTTGGCATCTCCCTTAGGATTTTTGCATGGGTTTCTTTTCCTTCAGTAAGTAATCAGATTTTCCTCACTTTGATGCTTCATATATTTGCTAAACAAGAACCTCTTGTGTAAATGTACCCATCAAACCTCGTTCTTGAAGTTTGGGGTATTTAGGTAAATCCTTGAACTGCAGAACTCCATTGCCAGCACAGCTCCTATACAGATGATATGGTTCCCACAATGCATAAGTCTGAATTGTAATTTGGAATTCTGTAGGATTTATTTTATAATAACCTCTGATATAAAGAGTGGATAAAAAAATTAAAAGTTGGTATAGAACACCTTGTTCCATTTCTTTTAACTTGCAGCCCTTGAACATTAAATCATCCGTAACTCATCAGTAGGCTGTTCTAATTACTGCATATTATTTTCTTATTGTAAGGTCATTGCTATTGTGTAAAATCATAGGCATTGTTACTGACCTTCTCCTGTTAGCAGCTTTTAGCTTTGACTTCGTGTATTAATTTTTTTGTATTATTTAGTATTTTAAGCTTTTAATTGTAATTAAGGTCCTGTCATAGGTATGATTTTTAATTGCCTTGGGGCAACAGATGAAATTTTAAAAGCTTTTTAAAACTTTTTTTAGCATTTTTTGAACAAAAAATGAATTTTGACTTCTAGATTTCAGATCTTGGGTTCAGCATCACTTCATTAAACAAACACGTGGGAAATAAAGATTGTCAAAGGTTGTTCAGCAAAATGTATTTCTCTGGCTGTTTTCCACAGCCATAGGTCACTGGAGAGGGTATATTGAAGAACGTGTAAGTCATTTCTTGTACTCTTTCCCTACTGACCACAGTCACAAGCAGGCTTTGATTTGACTCAGTAGGACTGTTAGGTTCATATTAGCACTGTAAACCGTTCGTGTTTGTGTACTCAGCAATGCAGGCGTTCTGATTTTGAGACATCAAAACAGCCCATCCCTCATTTGCTGAGTTTAGCAGAGTACCCAACACTTCACAGCCAGGAGACCATTTTGGTTTTTACTGGCTTGGATTTTTTATGTTTGTAATTTTGTTTCTTTTTAACAAGAAGAAAAGTTCTTGGCTTCTATTCTGCAGTTCTTCTGAAATGCCATTAYCTCTGATAAAGTTATTTTTTCTCTGTTGTAAAATATGAGACCTTGTGTGATTGGCAGAGTGGGGATGGGAGACCTTATGTTTTAAAATTTTTAAGATGTTTCTTAGAAGAGCCTGTTTATTTTAATGACATAAATCTTTGGAAGAATTTTAGTGACCTCAAAAGCTACTRTGGTAGGGATAAAAAAAGGTGCTGTAGAAAAAGACAAATTTACACTTTGTTATTTAGATCTTAACTAGGTTTCCTTCAACAAGTACTATTGAAATAATCAGTTGTGTTGGAATCATAACTCAAAACATCTCAATGTCATAATTTCAATATAAAAGTGGTTTTCTATTTTTTCTTTTTTTTTCCTGATGTTACTGAAATATTTTCAGCATATTTTTTATACTGGGTTTCTARCTACATATTGATACCGAAAGATGCATACTCTTATTTCTGTAAATTTAACTACCTCAGCAAGATTTTAGTCAAGTAAGATGTTGAAATATGTTTTTCACTGTTTCAGGCACTCCTGAGAAAGAATGTGAAAAAAAAAGTTACTCTCTTTTCTCTTTTAATATGGCAGGTTATTTTTTCAAATGTATTGAAGAAGAGGGGAAATTTCAAAATATTACTTCTCTTGACCATCATTTCCTTTTTCTTTTATTTCAGAAAAAAGAAATCCACACAATGAAAAAGGTTAGTAACTCTTTAAATTACATTTTTTGTTGGGTTTTTTTTTCCTTAAAGGGAATACATAGAATTCAGTATTCCTTTTTTTAAAAAAAAATAATTTGAGACACATGCAGCAGTAAAGAACCTTACATTTGTGTAACCATTCTTTTCTTTATACATATCAGAGGAGAAGGCCAATAAGTCAGCAAGGGTTGAAACTTCGTTATATTTACAGTGCAGTATGATTTATTCATGGACCCTTCCCATTTTAGCAGATTTTTCAGACTTTCTGAAGTATCTACAAGTTTGTAAATTCATGATYACGAAGTCTGTTTCTGCATATCCTGGCTTCTCGTTCTGGTTCTGCCAGGACAGGGTTACTTTTTGCGGTAGCCAAGAAGGGGCGTGGCTAGGACATGGAGGTTATTCTGTACCACCTCACCGGGGGAAGGGAACACTTTTCCAGGGAGAAGGGGTTGCCTTCCAGTCAAGAAAACCTGGCAGAGGGGTTAGTCAGGTAACGCCAGGTCTGAGCATTCTGCATGTGAACCACTCGCCTCTCTCTTGTACATTCTTGTTATTAGTATTGTTGCTGTTACTGTTCATTTTCTTCTCTCATTGCTGTTTCCAGTAAATKGTTATTATCTCAATGATCTTTACCTGTTGTGCCTCRAATTCTCCTCTCCRGCCTGCCACAAGGAGAAGGGGAAGTGAGGGAGTGGCTTGTGGTTTGCAGTTTCAGTAGCACAGTAAATTCAGGAATACCATTCCTAAACCAACACCTATCCCTTGGGGAAAAAATCATCATAGTTTGACATCTATCATATCAATTAGCACAGAATTGGATCAAAGGGTAATGCCAATTTGCCTTATTGYTTGACCAGATGCTTCTGATTTCTATATTTATTATAAAAATAAACTCACTGAATTTTCACTCACATTTGTCCAAAGATGAGACAAACAGAAAAAGCAACCAGATTATATAGCAGGGAGACTGACATTCCTTGTTTTGGCTATTTTTTGTCCTTTTTCTTACTTTAAATGTGGGAATACTGCTCGCAAGTTGTTACAGAGATTAAGTTGTTCAGTTTTCTCTGGCAAGAATGAGCTGGATACTGCACGGGTAAATGGAACCCTTTGCCTGTAAGTGCCCAGTGTTTTCACCTACATCCAGAAATTTCACTAAGTTTTTTTGTACAACCACAAAATTGCTGTTCATTTGCCACAAACTAGTTCTGAGCTTGCACATAGGGGTTGATAAATTCTGTAGAAGAGCTTGAAGTTATCTTCCCTCTTCAGCTATCTTTGCTTCCTCTTCATACCATCTGCCTGTTCCAAGAAGGAATACCTGACTTGTTTAACTTAAACCCCGTRGAAGCAACAGACTCTGAAATGTTCAAGAGCTTCTCTGAAATAATTTCAAGTKAATTGCACTTTCGCAAAGTACTTCACAACATTCTGTCTCCAATTCAGTGCTGACCATGTGTTATCAATGCCTCAAAGTCTCCAGATAGTGTAGAAGTGTATTCCTACATATGGAAGTGCTTCAAATAAATACACTCTTTAGAAGGTTAAGACAGTTGCTTCAGACTTCTCATGCATCCAGAATACAAGTGCAATAAAGTGGCGTGAGTTTTGGAGGGTTTTTGGGGTTTGTTTCTTGATCAGAATATAGCGTGGTATAAATAAATAAATAGATACTCTTTAATTTGCATTTATTTATTTATCTCCCTCAGTGTCACCATACCTTTCGCTAATGCTGCAGCCTTTCTTCTTTAATATGGTAAACTGCAAATTCTGAATGATTAAAATACAGGACAGCGATGAGTGAAAATTTTAAAAAGTACTCTTTATTAACCTGTCTTTGCTCCAATTTGATTTTTGGAAGTTTTAATATCAATTTCAGGTAGGGACATTGTTTGAGTACTTTCTGAAATGCTACCTTATAGAGCAGGATCATTCAGGCAAGAATTCTGCATTCACAGAAACAGCACCTGGTACCTTAAGAATTCAGTTTTAATTGGAACCTCTGGGAACAGTTGCAGAACAAAYTGTTACAGAGGAAGAACAAAAATTTAAATGGAGAAAATGGTAAAACTGCACTTCTGACTTACATCACCCCCAAAAAAACGTGTCTTCAATCCATTTGATTGTGAGCCTAGAAGCCTTAATTTGTGTTGTGTTCCTGTCAGCATTGGAAAGAGATGTACAGGATTTCTTCATTTCTACAACTTACACAGTAGTGTGTGAAGCTGAAGGTAAGTGCAGCACTGGATGGTTTGGTGGAGACATGCAACTGGAAAACTGAAAGAAGATAAGGTACAATTAGAGTATTTGTGGATTTGTGAATCAAAATCATAGGCATTCTGTCTGAATGTGTGATTGAAACTTCTAGAGGTGGGTGTCCATCTCATAATCCAGCTGTGCAATATTCATATTGTGCCGAGTACTAGATCTACGTCAGTGAAACTGAGAATATTACCATATAACTCAAGAATTGTCTGAGTTTTAGGAGCTTCAACTCATAGTTCAGTCTTATTTCTAGATTGAAATAAAACACTTTTTTTTACACACTGGATTCTTGATAAGTAAAAAATTATAGGTTTTTAATCTTCACTATACAAGTAGAAAATCACATTGTTGGAACCACATCTGTATTTTCAATATATGTGCTTGACTTCATACTAGGTTATTATAAAGTTTTGTAACTTTGATAGTATCTTTGATGTTTCTGAATTGAAAAGATCTAATACGGGGTGAAAAAAAAATGGGCATTAATATGTACTGTGTATCATCTCAGTCTAGAACTAGTGTCAGWTTATTCACCTATTGCCTGAACTCAGATGTCTTGACTATAAAGTTATTTCATATTTTTGCATATCTTAACCTTCCTGCTTTATTGAACAGACCTTTATGTTTAAATCACACACAGTTTTTGGAGCTTACAAAATTGGGAGGTTTTTATGTCTCAAATTCCTTTTCTCTCAGTTTTTGTAAATCTTGGGAGCTCTTTAGAACTTGTCTGTTATTGCTGCCACATCTGGCAGTAGTAACTTCTATTGTAAGTATGAGCTGGCAAAAGTAGTGTTTCTGCCTAAATAGATTTTGCTGTTAAATAACTGCTAATTTGATCCTTAGTCACGCTTTCAGCTTGCTTGCTGGAAACATTTCCAGCAGGTGTATCTTGCATATTGCTAGTCCAAGTTATGCTTTTTTTGCTGTTCCCTATTGTATGCTAAACGATAAATTATGCTTCATTCAGGCCTTGTGTTCATAAAGATTTCAGTCCTAAAAGAATGATTAAAAATCTGTTATATTTTTATTTTTCATGCTTATAGTTTCCAATGTGAGTTCCAATGTGTGYACTTCGTTAGGAAAGCACCAAGAAATGTTTCAAGGAATTCGCAAACATCACTAACAACTAGTTTTCTTTACCACTACACAAGACATTGCTTTTTTCAGTATGGTATTCCCTTTGTTGGCTCCTAATAGAAGCCAGTGGCTCAATATGTTGCTTTCATTAGGTTAGAATTTGCTGCTGTATTCATGTCTCTCTTTGTATTTTCAAGTACATGGACTGCTTGCAATAAAAAATGGCTCTCTCTGGCTAGAGCTTATAAATAGTCAAGCTTCACCTTTAACTTTTATTACACAGTCAGGCTAGCAGCTAAATATTYCTTTAGAAGACTGTAGCTGTTAACAGTGGCAACAAAAATGCATCTAATTTCTAGAGCACCTATTARTAGAGAGCTGTAACATTTCAGATATAACGATAGATATTTTTTGGCATACATTCAATTTTTCACTCTATACCCAAAGAATTTCAAAATGGGTAAGCCTGGTAGGAAAAAGATGTCTTAGCATAATTAGTAAACTTGAAACATGAGATGCATGCTAARCTTGAAAAAGAAGAGTCACCAAGAAATGAAATTAAGGAAAAAATTGGATAAACTGCTTTAGTTATTTATAAGCTTGATTTGCACTTCTGACCCAAATCATTCCTTTTACTCTGTTAGTATGCATTATTTTTTGGCTTTAAAAAACTGTAAAAATCTGAGTAGTAGCTCTGTTTGGATTGTTAAAATAGGGCAATATTTTGTGGAGGGGTTGGCAAGAGATTTATAGATCTTTAGTTGACTCCTTTTACCCTGATCTGTCTCAAAGCTTTRGAGGGGAAATACGAATTAATAGAAAATGAATTTATTCAAATATAGATGTATGATCTAAGCTTAGGATTAATCATTTTACATTTGTCAAAAATAAACATCAACCAAATCATCCAGCATGTTTCTAGTACAACTTCCTAGGTCTCAGTATATACAGGAGAATTGGACATTTGGGAGAGAGGGATSCCTGAAGCTTTCTAGCCTTGCTGGAGTTAAATACAGATCACACATTGAGTGAAGTAAAATATTACTTGAGGCATCCATGTCTACATTGTCATGACATGGAAGCTGTGGAGTACAGTGCTCCTAGGTAGCTTTGTGTCACCACTGATATGATTTGGTTATGCACTATATAAAACGGTGTTAAAGATGCTGTGTAGAAGGCATAACTCTCATCTTCCCGGGACCTGGCTGTGTGAAGGCATTGTGTGCACAGCAGTGCAGTGAGGGGTGTCAGCACAGCCAATGGCCAATGGCTCAGCTGCTGGTTTGGTGTGSTCAATTATTTTGTGCTTTTTCATCCTCCTTTATCTTCTCCTGCGTGAAATAATGGGAAGGGGCAAGCACTGACAGAGGGCAGACCCATGAAGTTTCTGTGTAATTGTTAGTGGAAGAAAGAGAATTTCTTTCACAGCTGTCACTCAAATATTGTGTATTGAGATAGGACAGGTTTTTCTTTTTCTCTTTTCTTCTTTCTGGCTACTTAAGTTGGGCATTATCACATCACACAAGTATCTTTTCACCTACACAGTCTAGTAAAAGTGAATACCTTTTAATTAATAACCATTATAATTTTTTACWGTCAATCAATCTTATCAGCAAACTACCCTGTAGGACATTAGTGGCTGTTGGATTGTG